TTTATTTTTGTCATCCTTTACATAGTGTAAAATTTAACTCCAGTACTAGCAAGGACAATATATATATTTGCTCAGCTTGCATCCCAGCTCAATGTAGTTAAACACATTTGACTGATTTTCACTGTGTCATGAAGGTTATGCAGATGCCAAATTTCTTTTCAAGTCAGTGGTATATTCTTCTTTCACTAATTCTTCCAATTAGTGAAAGAAGAATATAACACTGACTTGGAATATAGGAATTGCAATATAGAATATAGGAATTGCATTTGGAAGAGTCCCTTAGATTCTAGTTCTTATTATCATTTAGGCTAGAAGACAGTGGTGTCCCCATCTTCTACCAGTAACATTTGCACCACCTTTATGGAAAGTGACCATTTTAAACCCTTACCATTTCTCTTTTATAGTGGAAAAACTGAGGCAGAGTTCTTATTTTGGCTCTCAACTTAATCTGAAGTAAAAATGGGAGTCTCTTTGCCATAATAAGCTAAATATTTAGAACACAATTGCACAGAAAAATAAAGTGAGGGAAACAAATTCATTTCTAGTTCTTACATTATGCTCTTTGGAAGTCCTGGAGTTATTCATTGAGCATATTAAAAGGTCATAGGAAAAATGCATGTTTTAATGCACTATTTGAAAAATAATACATGATCAGGTCATTAAAGACTAGATCTTACTAGGTAACAATGAGGACAGTTACATTAATGCATGAAATCTCAACTTGTCATTACCTGGACCTTTGAGAGCTTAGCTGTACATTCTTTAAATTCTCTTAATATAATGTAATTGAATTTCCTTTAACTGATTAAGGAAAAGATTATCATTTGAAACTACTTGGCCACACCACAGAATAATCTATACCACAGAGACCACTGAATGTGAAAAGGCAGTAGGACTCAACAGTCAGCTTTCCTCTTGATGATCCAGCATGCTTGACTCCAACCAACAAAATTAAAATAAGAAAACTCCTATCATGAGTATAGCACAATAACTTTTCAAAAAGCATCAGCCATTTTACTTTCAAATCTAGGAAAAGTCCTAAAGAGCCTGGGAACATGTAGTCTACCATATCAGACTGAACAGATGGTACATATAGTACAAAGGAAGTCACATAGTGCATACTCTGTCCATAATAGAGATTTGTTAAAAACTTGCAGTCAGTGAAGAGCCCAGATCACTCATTAAATCTAAAGTACAAGGATCTTTTATTTATCTCTCCAGTAAAGTGAGGAAGAGGAATCATGTGTCTGCTAGTCAAAAGGCCAAGGAAGGAGGCAGTAGGTTAATCACAGTTATTCTTTTATCTTCTGGGGAAAAGTTTTAGATTCCTATGCCAATCCTTGAGAAACGTCTAGCTCTTATCACATGCAAGCCTCACCTTTAAGCTCAGCAATTCCCTTATTTCAGTGCAACTCAGAAGCAATGGTAGTTCTTGATCACAAACACTGATATGATCTTCTGAAAATCTGACCCAGGCCCTAATGCCAATTTGAAAGTTAAGATGAAATTATTCTCTCCTATTCTATCCAAAGCTGATCAATGAAAGCAAAATACTTGTGGGGAGCTCCCAGTTGCACAATATCAATGATATTTCAGATACTGGTGACTCATATGAAAGGGGTAAGCTCATCTCAAACTACTTGAAATCAATAGGTTTCTTTCATTTTCACCCAAAACGACTTGTACGGAATAGTCGGAAACATGACCAGTAGGTTTCTATGATCAGGTTAAACATCTACAACCAGGTTACTCACCACCTGGATAAAGGAGATGAGGTCAACATTATTTATTTGGACTTTAGGAAGGCCTTTGACTTGAGGTCCCATGAGGCTTTCAAGGTAAAACTAGGGGGAGGGTAAAACAACGGAACGGTCAGATGGGTGCGAAACTGGCAGTAGGGCTGGACCCAGAGAGTACTAATAGACGGATCTGTCAACTGGCTACAGGGTTGGACCCAGAAATTACTAGTAGATGGGTCTGTGTTGACCTGGAGGAAGGTAGCCAGTGGACAGAAGGTAGGCAGTGGGGTTCCCCAGGATCAGTACTTGGAACAGTACTGGACATGGTGCTTTTCAACATCTTCTCCAGTGGTCTAGATGTGGGGGTGAAAAGCACACTGGCAAAGTTTACTGATGACGTTAAGCTGTGGGGAAGTGCGGCCACGCATCAGGGTAGGCTGACAATCCAGGCAGACTTGGACAGATTAGTTAGATGGGCGGACCAGAAAAGCACACTTGCAAAGTTCACCAATGATGCTAAGCTGTGGGGAAGCGCCATGCATCAAGGTAGGCTGACAATCCATGCAGACTCAGACAGATTAGTTAGATGGGCGGACCAGAACCAGATGCTGTTCAACACCAAGAAGTGTAAAGTGCCCCATCTGGGGAGGAAAAATCTGCAACAAACTTACACGCTTGGTTGTGCTATGCTAGCTAGCACCACATCTGAAAGGGACCTGGGGGTCATAATTGTCAAAACAAATATGAGCCACTAGTGTGATGCAACAGTTAGCAGAGCAAACAATATGCTGGCATGCATCAACTGATGCATCTCAAGCAAAACTAAGACAGTTATTCTCCTGCTCTACTCAGCATTGGTGAGGCCGCAGCTGGAGTACTGTGTCCAGTTCTGGGCACCACACTTCAAGAAGGATGTGGAGAAGCTTGAGAGAGTCCAGAGTAGAGCCACTCATATGATTAGAGGCCTGAAGAGCAAGACATATGTGGAAAGGCTGACAAATATGGGACTGTTCAGCCTAGAAAAGAGAAGACTTCAGGGGGATTTGGTGGCAGCTTACAGATATATCAGTAGAGAGTATCAGGGGCTAGGCAAACAACTATACACCAAAGCGTCCCAGGGGAAAACCAGGAGCAACAGTCAAACCCCTAGAAGAAGGTTTCAGACTGGATACAAGGAAAAACTTCATGGTTTGTGTGACCAGACTCTGGAATAGACTCCCAGCATGGGTGGTGCAAGCACCTACTCTGGAGATGTTCAAAAGGAGACTGGATGCATACCTTGCTGGGATTATTTGACCCCAGCAGTTTTTCCTGCCCAGAGCAGGGGATGCTGGACCTGATGATGTCACACGGTCCTTTCTAGCCCTAAACTTCTGTGAATCTGTAGATGGAGATGGAATTAGGTCTGATTCAATATGCCTATGACTATGTTCCTAAAATTAAGCAGATTCAGAATTAGAGATTCATTATACCCCTTAATTCTCATAATTCTTATGAACTACAGTTTGTCTTACATCTCTGTGAAAGCAAGCTACAAGAAAGAGTAAAAAGTAGAAAACCACAACTGTTCTCCTAATTTTTAGTGTTTACTTTATACATTTGCTGGCAAAGCCTAAAGACTATTTTAACTTTTTCTCTTGGACTGTAAATTTTCCTCTTGGTCTTGTCTGCTGCATTTCTTCCACATAACAAGGATGAAAAAAGGCATCAAAACACAGGAAATAATTTTTAAAACCTCAAAAATTGACACACACACTACCCAGAATTACTTGCATCTCACTCTTTGAAACGTATTTACAAGATCACTACATCTTTTAATTAAATAGCACAAGTATTGTCCCTCAGAATATAATTGCTATAAGTATATTTATGCTTTGTTAGAACTGTATATAAGAACATATTCCCCAAATTCCCCCATTTAGATGTATGCAGAATTAGATTTATTTGGAGACAAAGACCTCACATCAGGGAAAATATTATAAATCGCAATAAACTTTCCTCCACATCCTTAACTTCCTCAAACTGTTTGGCTTTTTGGCTTAACTTGTGGAAAATATTGGAAAAAAAACAGAAATAATCATAAAATGAAGCATTTGACAAACCTTCTACAAATGCCACTAATACCATTAGCAGTGTTCTTTATTGATGGTAAGGTTCAATAAAGAAACCTTGGCATCAGTCTTAGATTTGTACTTTATTCCTGCCAATGGTCTGCTACAATATTGTTCTCTCAATATATATGACCTTTTTCTACTTTGTGAGCAATTTCTATTCTATTCTATTTTGCTATCCTCATCCTTGAACACTTTCCGGAAGTTCATCAAGTGATTTGATTAATGGTGTGTCCTTTGTGGTTCTCTTTGCCCAATGGAAAAATCTGTGAAGATATTTCTCTTTTTCAATTATTTTATGCCTTTATATATCATTATATTTCTCTCATAAAATTATACCATATGCAATTAACAGTTATTAGCCACAACAAACCTCCAAAAGTTGAAGCTGACATTTAGAGGAGAAAATGCCAATCTCTCATTATGAAATAAATATATAGAAGCAAAGTGACAATCTCAATTGGTAAGATGCCAAAAGATGTGTACAATAAAATTATACACGACTCAATTAATGAGAGTATAATTAGAAATCAAAATATTAGGTAATTCTCCAGAAAACATGGATGATGGTAATAGCCTGGATAATACTGGTTTGACATTATGTAATTAGCAGTATTAGGTTTCTTTTACTGTACTTATTCTCTCTCCAGATTCTGTATGTAAAGCAGTTCAACATAAATACATTTTCCTGTACAAAAAACCCAACTTCACAGGCACTGAATATTTGATCATTTATTATTTTGAAGTTTGATCATCTGGTTTTAGAATCTCCATATTAATTATCTGAAAGTGATATTAGCACAGAAACAAGTAGACAAGCACACACGCACTTGTGTGTATATAAAAGTCTCCTAATAACCATCCAAAAGAGCTGCCATGTCACTTTCCTTTCCATTTTACTATTCCCTTGCAAAAAGCCTCCCCCCACCATGATCTTCAACTCATTCTAAAATATTTTCAATATTTAAAAATAACTTATTTCAAAATACCTTCTAACTTTTAGGAAACAGATTGAGAGTACTTGATAGCTTCTAATACCTCTTTCCTAAATTATTTCTAATACCTCTTCCCTAAATCTTGGCAGACCACAGTAATATTACAATTCTAATATATTATCAAAGATAATATTGAAAGACGCACAAATACTTACAGTAATACTGTCCAAGAGCTTAGCCATATGCTTGATAATTTCACTATGGTGTGCTGGTTGTGTTTGTAGAAGCTTCTTGATAACAACAACACTTTCAGCAACCACTATTTCTGATAAAGACAAAACCAAGTTATGCTTTTCAAAGGAATGTATGTATACAAAACTTATCATATACAAATTGTAAGCAATAGCTTTTAAAAATGTTAAATGATTTAACACATTTTCCAAATATACTCTATGGAACTACATCTATTATGAACAACATAAAAGGGTAGATTGTTTTATAAATCTGAAGACAATCTGCTTCTGGGAAAAGGTTTGAGACAAAGAGAAGCGGGAGGATTTAGGAAAAGATAACACAAGCAGCTAATAAATATACCTCTTTATAATACTTTTTAATTTAGTTTTAATGCATCTGCACTTCATTTTTTTTGTGGGAAAAACATCTATTCTGCATTATTAAATTACAGTATGTACATTCATAAATACTGCACAAAGGTTGGCACAAAATGTAAATATATATATATTGTTTAATAGACTTCCAAAAATGTATAGGTTGCTCAGAAAATTGCTAGCTAATTCTACAAATAAAAAAATAGCTAAACATTTCCTCTGCACTTTTTCACCCTCTAAAGATCCTCTCCCAGGTCTGTAGCATGATCTGTAGCACATTCAAATGAGGTTCCTAAATAGGCAAGCTGTTCAAAGATTTATGTCCAAGTCATGCATTGGAGTGCTTAACTACTGTAACAAGTAACATTCGCAGCCTGATCAACTTGTATGAAATGTACAATTTTTGAAGCTGAAAAAAACCCACTGGTGCAGAAGTGGGCTTCTATGCAAGAGTAAATTCATGCTGTAAGGAAAGATGAAGTAAAGTCAAACATGGCCAAGGTTGAAGCCAAAGCCAAAAAAAAAAAAAAAAAGACTAATACAACAGAAGTTCAATTTAATTATATTTTTCATCTCAACTAAAAACAAAACAAAAAACATTTCCCCTCACCCTCCAGACACTAAGAACCATGGACATTGTTTCAAACAGATGAAAAAAGCATCCTTGCATTTGAATTGTTAATCTGAAACACGGACCTTCCACTTAATGAATTATCAAAAAGAACAGAACAGATTTCTGAAACAGGAGTATTAGGGTATAGAGTATAGTGCAGGACAATTTGGAAAGTATTCTGTCCCCCTTTCATACTGCCAAAGGTTAAAAAAATAACAGGAGCAAAATAAATCATCCTGGTAACGATGATGGCAAAGTTAGGTGACCACCGCAATAAAAAAAAAGCAGCAGTTGGTGTGCCTGTGTAGTACAAAATCTGGAGAGTGACAAAAAGCTTCCATGTAACATCTATCCAGGGGTCTCAATAGCTGCACCCCTGCCACATTTCCCTGAATCAGCTGTGGAATAAGTAAAGGTCTTCAGGCAAGATTCTTATTCACTGAAGAGTTCTAATTTTTTACCATCCTGTAACAACATAACATTGTTCTTACATTATAAAGTTAAGTGTCCTAACTAATTCAGAACACCAAAAACTCAAAAGAAATAGTATTAAGAAGTAACTACTCTCCAACTATTTGGGTTGGTCTAATAAAAGATAACAAATTCACCCAAGGAACCTTGTCTGTCTATTAAGAAGTAATCAATTATGCAGGATGCTTTGCTAGAAAGTTTGTAGTAGAATGAACAAAGTATTACAGTTAAATGATCACACAAGAAAATAAAATTTGTTTAAAAGCAGGAGCCAAACAGCTGAGCAAGATACTAAAACATACTTAAAAGTTATATTTCCAGGAGTTGCAGAAAGGAACATGATTAAAGTACAATTCAAGACATGTAGAAAAATATATAAATTATTGCCATAGGAACCATTATTCTGAAATCTGTAGGAGGAAAGAAATGCATGGAATAAGAACATATCTGAATTAGCATGATTCCTATTTACATGAACCTAGATACCAATAAAAATGTCCCATGTAAAGTATTAACAAAAGCAGGAAAATTAAATATTAGACTAAAACCTGAAATAATCCAAGTGAATAAACAAGTGTACTGAGAAGCTGGTTTTCTGCATGCTGAGGGCTCCACAAACAAGGAAGGCATATTGCAAAAATAGTAGAATGTAGCCACAAAAACAGTTATGTAGTTTTCATGCTACATAAGTAAAATCAAGAAAGAAGGCTGAAAAAGATAACTTCAGTCAAGTTAGCAGAATTTGTGATAAATATTAATAAACTCTTAACAGGTATATCTGTGCCAAGAAACAAGTAACAAGAAAAGTGATACATTTACCTATTCATCTATTAGTGAAGACTTAAATGTGACATTTTCACTATTGTAAAAAAAAAGGGGG